TTTATGATTTCAGTCACCGACCAATTACGTTTCTTTTGAGTAACTTAGTGTGTGGCATCGTTTTTAGCGCAGCAGTCACGGCGTGATATGTGTTGGCGATCGGCAATATAATAAAATATGTATTTTGTCGAGATCTCGACGAGAATTTGAAATAATCTTGATCTTGCCCAAATCTCGACATGCTGAATTCCTATATCGACCTAGAATGTTACAAGTAATCTCGATCTCGCATTCGATTTCAAGATGCGAGATCGAGACGAGATTGAGATTTATCTCATCTCGTGCGCATCTCTATATAAATGCAAATAACGTGGAAATGCGTGAATCGTTATTCCTGACTTATTCACGTTCTTTCGTTGCTTGATGAAAAGAAAGATTAATATTCCATAACGAGGTTATTAAAAAATAAAACGTAGACAACATTAGGCGTATCTGCGACCTGAACAGGATAATAAATTCGGAAAGTTAACGAACGAGAGTAAAGATAATAGTAGCGAATATTGAGACAGGCGAAATTTCAGTTAGGCGTGTGTACTCGCAGTAGGTAAATAAACTTCGGGGTTAATTACAAATGCACAGGTGTGCAAACTAAACAGGTATACAAACTAAACAGGTGCACAGCAGAAGCGCAAACAGTACTACGATTCATGATAGTTTCGGTGAGTTCGTGTATTTCATTTGGATTACGAAGAAACATGTGAAGGCTAATGAGATGATTGCGATTAGGTAAACTCAATTTTTGGAGTATTTTGTACACATGAAATCATTTTAATCAATACATGTCTTGAAAATTATCGCTTCACATAACGATAACAAATTCTGGGTATTATCATTTGCTTACATAATAGATGAAGAGTTCATTTTGAAGTGAAAATATATAAAAATAGTACACTAATATCTAATATAATATCTAGTAGTATATAATACCTGATATCTATGTAGTATATGCTTTAACTAGATGTGTAATTAATTTTACTTTGTACAAATAAATGTTTCAAAAGTTGTTATACTGGAATTATATGAAATACTCTAATATTTATCATTTATTATTTAAGTATCTATAATCTATACTATTATTATAACGAGGTGTGTATAAGATACTGTTTGCATTGCATGGAATGATCGGTCTCCTGATATTGTAACGTAGGCAAAAAATAATCTCTTGTATTTTAGTTTGTGATTAAAGTGATCCTTAAAAAATGTGTCAATGATTCGAATTTATTCTCTATGAAGATTAAAATGATTGATCTATCTAATCTTCAATGTAATCTTCATAGAATCTTGTTTTTTTCTTGTTAATTTCTCAACTTACACAAATAGCTATTTTTTTTGTAATCTATCTATTCTAGAGATTTCCGAAAATATGTAGAATGTCATTGTTTATAAAAAATAAGTTAATAAATTACAATTTTACATACAGGGTTATCCAAAATAGACTATAGGAAGTTTTTTTTAAATAAAATAGATACTCTTTTTAATTTTATTAGTGTTTTTATTTAATTATCAGGTATTATCTATGATAATTATGTGCGGAAAACGATATCTGTTGAATGACCATCACGACCATGTTTACCGACATCAATTTGAAAGTTAACATTTTCAATAACATTTTGGCATATTTGCTCGTTTTATTCACCAATTTCATTTCTAATGTTGTTTTTCAAGTCATGAATTGTTGCTGGTTTGCTGGCATAAACTTTACGTTTCAAATAACCCAAAAGAAAAAAATCCAATGGGGTCAAATCACACCATCAAAGTGGCCAATTCATATCACCATTACTTGAAATTAATCGACCATTAAATTTCGATAGCAATAAACTGAATATTTTCACGCGTTGTTGAAAATAAACATTGCTTATGTCGATTCCATTTAATTTCGGCCATAAATAATCAATAACCATTTCATTATAGCGTGCAGCATCCACTATAACTGCGTCTTCATTCTCGTTTTTAAAAAAGAATGGACCGATTATGCCTTTCGACCAAAATCCACACCAAACAGTAACTCTCTTTGGACTATTTTTGAGCAGTGATTATTGATTTTTCTGTAATGGCTCTCGGATTTTCATCTCCACTGCTTGCAAAAGAATTGGCCAGCAATTTTTGATGATATTATGGTCGGGTGCGCGCGCCGGCCATTGACGAGTGGAAATATTCTCCTTAAAAAAATATTCCTTAATAATTTTAGCAGCATGTATCGCAACATTATCTTGCTGGGATATACATATATGGTGTAACAGCAATGCGTTCTACATACGTATAAATTTGATTTTTTATTAGTTCAAGGTAACGAATGCTATTCATTTTGCTTCGAATAAACTTAATTTTTGTGTTTCCTTAATATCCGTTAACAGCCCAAATCATTACTCCATCTCCACGCTTTTGACGTCGAATTTTTGTTAGTGGTTGTTTACGAACAACGCAATAATAATACGTACATCCGTCTGGGTCATCAAAGGTGAACCGCTTCGCATCCGTAAAGATTACTTTTCTACAAGTCTTCTTCCAAAGTACATGTGCATTTGCAAATAACAACCGTGACTCCTTATGTCTTACGTTTAGTGATGGTTTTGTCATTACTCTAGCCCGATTTATAATGCCTAGTCTGGAGTCTTCATGACGAATATTTTGCATATTTCTTTTTACGCCAGCTTTCTTAGCGATCTCTCTCGCAATAGCACGAGAATTGTAAGCAGCTCGTATTATTGCTCGTGTATCGCGTTCAGATAATGCTGCTGGCCTTCCTGTACTTTTATTTTTTTCATGTGCACTTGTATATTTCAGCAAATTATACAATAACTCTTCAAGTGCGACTAATTTCTTTTGCAATTTGAGTAATGGATAACTTTTGTTTCCGCAGAGCTAATATTACACTAATGACACTTTCACTAAGCTTTTTGTCACGACCCATTACGAGGATAGCGATATAACAAAGCTCTAGAAATTGAACGTAATAACTTCATGCAAATTCACGGAACACTGAAGAATATGTAAACCTAGTTCAAGTGTGCTATCATTTTGTCTGCGTCGGATTATGTACAGTGAGTAACTTTAATATTCGGACACTATGAGATTTTTACATTATCACATCATAACTTCGTTTCTAACAAAACAAGCAAAAAACATAATCAAGTATTATATTAACGTATATGTTTAGTAGACAATAGTCTAAGTTTTATTTACATAACTTACTGTAGTTGGTAAATAACACGATTTAAACAAAATATTGTCTGATTTTTCCGTTACTTTAATATTCGGACACTTTTAGAAACCATTTATTTTAAGGCTAATTTTTATAATAATATGTGTTTTAATATTGCTAATGATTTTTTTTTGAATATTCTATAGTTATTTTGTCCAATTCTTCTTTTAACCGATGTTTCAACATTTCTTTTGAAGATATTGTTGTTGTCCTGATACATTCCTCTAGTTCATTGCATACATTTTCGATAGGATTAGGGTCAGGTAATTGAGGTGGTGGTTGTAAAACTTTTGGACAATTGTACAGTAAATATTCTTGCACGATGCGTGCGTTATGTTTTGGGTCATTGTCCTGGTAAAATTTAAATGTGTTTAAAATTCCCATTTGTGTAGCACTTTTGTGTAAATTACTTTTTAATATATTCAAATACGCATTTTTGTTCATAATATTGTCAATAAAAACTAATTCGTCCAGCTCATATGTGGATGTACAGCCCCAGACAAGCACACTACCCCCTCCATGCTTTACAGTTGGCCTTAGATTTGAAAATTTTAATTCTTCATTTTTCTTACACCACACCATTCTTCGTCCATCTGATCCAAAAATGAAAAATTTACTTTCGTTGGTAAAAATGACATCGTTCCACCATGTTTCTTCCTTGAAAACAAATTCTTTAGCAAAATTTCATCTCTTCTTTCGATTCTGTTCATTCACATACGGTTTCTTCCTAGCTACTCTTCCATTGTAATCACTATCTTTTAAGGCTCTTGCGGATTGTTTGGGGATGTACCTTCTTCCTAGTCTCGTTTAAGAGCTCTGTTGCTAATTTTGGTGCACTGAGTGAAGGATCCTTCTTCATTTTTCTTATTAGTTTCGTCTTATCACGTGCATCCAACTTGTTCGGTTGGCCCTTTTGGGGTATAGAGTCTAGACGATCCTCGTATTTGAACCGTTTAATAATATTTGCCACTGTACTGTTACCCATGTTGAGTATGGCAACAATTTGTCTACATGATTTCCCCTTTGCAGTGTGAAAAATCACAAGTTGTCGTATATTACACGTGGTATTGCTTTTGCGTGGGATTATACACGTGCACGTAACGGTTATCGAAGAATAACTGATGAAATAAAGCTTATTAGTATCATCCGAACAGTCGACTGTGTTTGTAAACAAACACTTATTCTAAACTCGAAGTAACTCTGCGTAAACACTCAGAAAAGGTGCTACACTACCAAGTGTCCGAATATTAAAGTAACGGAAAAATCAGACAATATTTTGTTTAAATCGTGTTATTTACCAACTACAGTAAGTTATGTAAATAAAACTTATACTATTGTTTACTAAACATATACGTTAATATAATACTTGATTACGTTTTTGCTTGTTTTGTTAGAAACGAAGTTATGATGTGATAATGTAAAAATCTCATAGTGTCCGAATATTAAAGTTACTCACTGAATTTCTCTTCGAACTAAGGGAACTCATTGAAGTAAAGTCAATCTATGTTATGTTTACATATTCGTAGAAGGTACATTTTACATATAACTCAGAGTTTCCACGCTAGCATAATCTTAACACAGACGTGCTATCTTTTTGTCTGGGAGTGTAATTCAATCAGGCTTGATAAGGCTACATAATCGGCGAAAGGCACAGCGAGGGTACTAGTTGCTTCGCAACCAGTTGCTCGTGGCAAGGGTGGCGGCCACTGTATTCGCGGTGGCGGTGGCTCGCATCGTTCTCAGAAAGAATCATCCTTCCCTCACCCCTTGTCGCGCATCACCGCGGTGGATGTCTCGGTTGAAACCACCAACACGGTGTACAGACACCACGAACGACCGTGGAATCTTGTTGAAGTCTTATCCAGGAGTTCGTCTCACCCTCCGCATCGAGGTCCTCGTGGGGGCGAGTCGCCACGCCTCCCCCGCGTCTATATAAGCTATCGGACCGACGTGGAAACCTCACTTGCACCCCGGCCACGGTCAAGAAAGGGTATACGCGACCCGTTCACGAGGATTGTTCCGTTTTTCGAGCCAACAGACGAGACGTGTTCCGATCTTTGGACCCCGGGCATAGAGGAGAAGAGACAAGTCCACGAGTGAACAAGAGTCATGAAGTCCTCCGTACTGTGGTTGATCTGTTTCCTGGTCTTCCTTGCCGATAGGACCCTCGGTGGCCCTTACTTCGACGAAGGTGAGTAGTCCATCGATCATTTTAAAGCTTTCTCTCTGGCTTGATTTTATTGTTGAGGTGATTCGGTACATACACACTAGAATAGATTTTACATCTTTTTAAGCATTTCTTCGAAAGCTGTTTCATTGTTTATAACAATAATAGTATAATAATATGTCTTTATCGTATCAGGATCGTTACGATTCAGTTTCCATTCAAAAATTGTCGATAAAGAATGGAAACACTCGGTTAAGTTGCTTATGTTTATTTGAAAATACTTTATCCAATATGACAAAATCCTCTCCATATGGACTTTCCTCGATGTCGCAAATTCGTAGTATTAGATGATCGTCATTTCAACAACAAAGTGAACAAATTAATTAATCGGTTATTCGTTGTAAATTAAACGTATAATACTATAGTCTACGAGCTGGCTACGAAAAAGAACAATACAAATTATTGAATTGAAGAGTAAATAAATTATGCAATAAATAAAATCGAATCGTGTTTAATGGATCATAAACTTTTTATGAAGTATAAATAAGTAAGGAGTATACAAAAGAAGGATAAGTATAAATAATTACATTAATTATAATTTTGTTTTAAATCTTTATTATGTGTAACTTAAAAATCAATATAATACAGGGTGAAATAAGTTTTTATGAGCATTGACAATCTGACTCATCATTGACATCTTCGTCGCTGGCATAATCAATATTTGCACCCTATTATTTAAATTTTAAAGAATTGCTTTCCTGTTTACTAACTTATGACGATATTATCATTTTTCATGTACTTAGCTACCATTCTGTCTTCTGGCAATTGTTATCCCGGTTTTTTAAGCGATAAATAATATGGAAACGAATTCGCCAGAACTGCACCTTGGCATTAAAATTTAAACAATTTTTTTACAAATTTATCGACTTCTGGCAACGTTTAAGCCCCGACCTAGACTTCTAGCAATAGCTTTACGGGATTTCTACAGTTAAAAACTATAACTACACAAAATTTCAGGGCTGCACTCAAAGATTTTATTTTGATTAAAAATTAACATGTTTGACCGCTCGCCTACGCTTCCAGCCCCGGGAGCGCCTTCTAGCTGCAGCGCTATGGTCTTTGTTATCTAGTAAGGAGTGTTTTTAGATACAAATTTTCGTTGCACCTTATCATTTCTGATTTTCGTAGCCAGCTCTCCGTCTACTCGGTAACGGTAGACTATTCCTTCTTTACTGAGACCTTCGAGCAAAACAATTGCAAAGAAACTATAACTATACAATAAGAATTGTTATTGTAAAATGCTTCGAGTCTTTCTTCCTTGTTCTATTCAAGTATTTATACACGAGAATGTAAATTAAGTATGCATTGCGTTACTTCTGTTGCATCGGAGTTATTAGAGCAGTGATTATTGACTACTACGTTGCACATTTTTGCTACCTACACAATCGCTATACGTTCGATCCGTTTATTCCACGAATCTTATTTTATTTTACAAAAAAAGAAACTTTTACTTAACAGAGGATTAATTGATATTCAAATTAAACAATAAGTAGTTGAATCTGTAAAGATACTAATTGTCTCCGTAAAACAAATCATGGAAATATCTCATAAAATTTCTTCAGTCAATTTTACCGGGATTTTCACATTACGGAGTAGAAGATTCAATATAAATACATTTTAAGCGTTTCAATTTCACATCAATGAGGTTCTCTTCGCTAAAACATAACAGAGCCATATTATCGTGAACATTTTTTTTATCTTAACTGATGTTTCTTAATTTTCTTAATGTTCTCTATTCTGTCTTATTGAAGATGACCTAAATGGTACAGATTTGAAACGCTTAAAATATATTTATAATTCATCAGATGCTTGTTTCAAGACAAATATTAGCTTTCGCTGTGTATGTATAATTTACGTGAAATTTATTATTCAATTCTTGGTATTGCATGCTACGTTACCTTTTTCGTTCAAGTTCTTGTGCATTGTGCTTTGCAAGAATCATAATGACATAACCTATATAAATATAAAATTAAAAAAATTAACAATTAATACAAATGACGAAAGCAGATACAGTAACATAAAAATAGGAAATAAATTAGAGAATACAATAATAGTGAAGATTGATAAGATATAGTCTATACAAACAAAATTGATTATACTATCAACACTTCATCTTATAAGTTGCATTCATCTATATCAGAATCAGCAATATAACTATTTAAAACTTCCTTAACGTCGCTGAATATTTAAAATATTGTTAACAATAGCTGACTTGTAATACGAATGATGGTAGTTGACACATTTATTCAGAACGAATCAAAGAATTTCAACACGCGTAGAAGAAACATTTACGTTTTATACATTTGAAATTCCTTATATTTTGTACAATTAAATTTAAAATTGATGTATTGCTCCACGCTTTATACTAGCAATGTTTTAAGGTAATTGTTTCGAAATATTGTATACAAGTAGCGAAAAATTACCAATTGGAAACTCTTGTTAAAGAACAGCGTTACTGCTTTCATAATATATCAATACGTATATCTACATATATGTATACATTCGTAATACTTAAGAAATGATTGTGGCAATAATACTGATTGTTACCGCGCAACTTCTCTACATTCAGTTTTAGATTTTAATAAATTATATCTCAGCAACAGTGTGGTCAATAATTGTTATTTTTTTAAAATGTTTTTCAATTTCGGTTTTTATAACGTATCAAATTGTTAGCAAGTGCTATCAGCGCGTTTTGATTTAAATTAAAAAAATTCACGCGAAAATCTGTTCTATATGGGTCTGCGTTACAATTACAAAATTTTGATATCGTTTTTCATAAAATTGGGTTGGTCAATTTCAACCGAAATAGACTCATACGATTACCTAATCAAAGAACAATGAACTTTTTGTTAAAATCCTCCATTAGATAAATTCATGGAGCAACTACCTTAACGTTTAACCGTTTGCACTCGAGGCCTTTTTTTCTGGTATCTACCAGCAACTCGAGATGCTTTCTTAGCGTTCTATTGCCACGAATGCTAACATTATATTGACTTCGAAAATGAGATCTCTAATTTGAGAGTTGCGAATTGGGTCACCTTTGCCTCAACGACAATCATTTTCATGACACTTGGAGTTCCAAAGAAATTACACCTGAAGAAAACCTAGCGGTGACTGAGAGTCAGCTTTCCGAGTGCAAAGGGTTAAATTGCCAGTTCGGTAGTGGAGAAGGCATATCGCGTCAGACTGCGGATTACGTCTAGTGGTACGAACCTGTGCTTGGTCAGATGCTTGGTTGACGGATCTGTTCCGCGGTTAACCGAAACGTCAACTGCTGTCACTCGCAACAATGTTATTAGAAGATATTAACATGATACATCGAGTTATTCCATAATTTATCGTTTCGAACAAATGCATCGATCAACAAATTTTACGTGTATTGATACTGACAGCAGACAGGCTTCGAATGAAATCTTCCTCTAGAATTGAGCAACGACTTTTTTAAAAATTCGAGGGGCACGTCGACTCTTATTTAGCATAATTTGTTAAGCATACATATGTGTATATTGTTCTTTGAACAATTAATATTTATTTAAAAATGATGAATGTCAAATTAAGAATGTCATAAGTTACATGTTATGATGGATTTATTAAAATTAAATTATTTTTTTTTGGAATTGTAAAGACCAAGAACTGTATTTGACTATAATTTTTCTCAAGTGAAACTCTTCTGTAAATGTGAATTTTAATGAAAATTTTAAAGCGACAAGCATTGTATTTTAGAATGTTACTAACAGTATGATATTTTCTTCTGCTTTTTTCATTGAAAACTTTAGGAGTCTTTCGGTGAGAGTCTATGAAAATGATACTCTTCCTAAAATAATTATTTTCTGAAAATTTAAGACGATATCGTAAGCAAGGTGTTTTAAGTATTGTGTTTTAATCTGACTACTGAAATGAAATCGTTCTTTGAGTAACTATTTCTTTAAAAATGTTATAAAACCATATTCAAAATATAGGTGAATCTATCAAAATAAAATTCTTTCTTCAATAATTATTTCTTTGAAAATTGAAGACGGCTATATTTTACGATGCCAAAGTATTTTCTTATGGAAATTTACATTTTCTCCGAACAGGAAGTTCCCTTAATTCTGCACGATTGCTTTTAAAGTATTTTATTAAGTATCAACAGGTTGCCACGAGATTTCTCAACTCATTCAATAGATACACGTTACGCAATGGGGACGATTGCGAAGAAGATGAAACCAACTTTGAACTGGCAAACGACCTTAAAGGGGGTTGATTTAATTGAACGCGTGTTTAATCAACTTGAACGGTTTCTCTGGGTCGTGTCGGGACTTTGTAGCGCGGAAACATTCAACAAAGTGTGACATCGAGTGTACTTACTTAAACGAGTTTGGTGAATTATAGAAGTTCGTCGACGTTCGAACTAGAACGCACGTGCTTCGAGTGAATTTTAATGAGGATTCAATTGAATATGTTTGGTGCATGTTCCTTCGTCGAATTATAGAGGATGTAACTGGTCGTGAGCCGAATGTCAAGTTCATACTATCGATATATATATATATGAGTATGTACGCTCAGCTTATGTGATTAAGCTCAACAATGCTTTAAATTGCATTACACAGAACAGTGTTGTTGAATATTTTTGTAAGATTACGACTTGAAGAAACACGAACATCGTCTGAAATTTTGAATAATAATTACGTGGCATATTTTAAATGAATCGTTTATCCTCTATTGTCATAATTATTTATTTATTAATGAAACATTTGACGTAAGGTAGGCAAACCAAGACAACATTTATTCTACTTGCTTTCACTTTAATGCAAATGAATACACTGTATTTATGCATACACATAAAACTGATTATTCGCTGTTTAAAATAAAAATATTTCTAGTTATTCGCGATTCTTCCAACGATTAAATTTATTAAAACGTTTTTCACCAGTAGTTCCGAAGAGTATTTTTGTATAATTTACATCAAGTAACGTTGAATATGT